GCATTGTTGATGGGAACGTAAATTGCTAGAGCCAGTATGGAAAATAGTATGGAGACTCCTCAATAAAAATAGAAATGCCATATGATCAGCAATACCACTTCTTGGTATTTATCTGAAGAAAACAAAAACACTAACTTAGAAAGATATATGTAACTCCATGTTTGTTGCAGCATTATTTACGATAGCCAAGATATTGGATGCAACCTAAGTGTCCCACTGATAGATGAATAGGTAAAGAAAATTGTGTGTGTGTGTGTGTGTGTGTGTGTGTGTGTGTGAATGAATGTATACATGCATACAATGGGATATTATTCAGCCATAAGAAAGAATGAAATCTTGCCATTTGTGACAACATGGATGAACCTTGAGGGCATTATGCTAAGTGAAATAAGTATGTGAAAGAGAAGTACTGTATGATTTCACTTATATGTGAAATCTAAAAAAAAAATAAAAAAACAAACACCACCCTAAAATACCAAGCTCATAGATAAAGAGAACAGAGTGGTGGTTGCCAGAGGCAGAGCGTAGGGTAGAGGATGAGAGAAATAGGTGAAGGTCGTCAAAAGGTACAGCCTTCTGGTTTTAAGTCCTAGGGATGTAATGTACAGCATGGTGACTATAGTTAACAGTACCGTATTGCATATGTGAAAGTTGCTAAGAGAGTAGATCTTAAAAGTTTTCACATAATAAAAAAATTCTTGTAACTATGTAAGGTGTTAGATATTAACTGGACTTATTTTGGTGATCCTTTCACAATGTACTCAAATATTGAATCATATTGTACACCTGAAACCTATATAATGCCATATATCACTTATACTTTTTTTTTTTTAAGATTTTATTTGACAGAGGGAGTCAGCACAATCAGGAAGAGCAGGAGAGGGAGAAGCAGGCTCCCCGCTTAGCAGAGAGTCTGATGCAGGGCTTGATCCCAGGACCCTTGGGATCCTGACCTGCGCCAAAGGCAGACAGACCCTTAACTGCTTGAGCCACCCAGGCGCCTCTCAATTATATCTTAATAAACAAAAAGACTTTCTAAAAAGGAAACTACACACCCGGATAATTTCACAAGTGAAATAGCAAACATCTAAGGAAGAAATCATAACAATAGTATATAAGCTTTTCCAGGAAGTAAAAGAAGCGGAACACTTTCCAATTCATGTTATGAGACCAGCCTTACCCTGATATCAAAACCAGACAGAGACATTACAAGAAAAGAAAACTGCAAACTAGTATTTCTCATGGACTTAGAAACAAAAATCCTCAACATTGAATTGAAAAATTGAATCTACCAGTATAAAAAGGATAATATAACATGTCTAAATAGGTTCATTTTGGAAATACAAGATAATTTTTTTAAAGATTCTTTTAGAGAGAGAACATAAACAGGGAGAGACAATCCTCAAGCAGACTCCCCACTGAGTGGGGAGCTCAACACAGGGCTCAGTCCCAGGACCCTGAGATCATGACCTAAGCCAATATCAAGAGTTGGCCACTTAACCAACTGAGGCACCCAGGTGCCCCCAAGATAAATTTTAAGTTCATTATTTGAAAATTAGTTACTGTAATTCACCAGAAGAGACTAAAGAAGTACTGTATGATCATCTTGATAGATGCAAAAGAAGCACTTGACAAAATTCAATATTTATTCATGAAAAAAATAATTCTCAGCAAATGAACAGAAGGAAATGTTCTTTACTAAAGATTAAACAAAACAAAACAAAAAAACACCCAAATCCTAGAGCTTATATTGTACTTAGTGCTGAGATAATGCTTTACTTCTAAGACTGGCAAAAAAGTGAAGATGTCCTCTGACACCACCATTGTTCATCATTGTTTTGGAAGTCCTAACTAGTGCAGTAAAGCAAGAGAAAGATAAAGGCATACAAATCAGAGAGGAAGAAAGAGTTGTTTCTATTGCAGACAACACAATTATTTAGATAGAAAACCTCAAACTACAAAAAAGTTCCTAGACCTCTTAAATGAATTTAGCATGGTTGTAGGATACATAATCAGTATATAAAGTTAAATCATTTTTATATTCCAGCAATGAGCAATTGGAGTTTGAAATAAAAATTTATTAGCATGCCCCAAAATAAAATACTTAAAAATAAATCTCACAGAATATGTGTAGGCAGGGGCGTCTGGGTGGCTCAGTCGTTAATTGTCTGCCTTCGGCTCAGGTCATGATCCCAGGGTCCTGGGATCAAGCCCCACATCGGGTTCTCTGCTCAGCGGGAAGCCTGCTTCTCCCTCTCCCACTCCCCCTGCTTGTGTTCCCTCTCTCGCTCTGTGTCAAATAAATAAAATCTTAAAAAAAAAATATGTGTAGGCACTATATGCTGAAAACAAACAAAAAACTGTGATGAATAAAAAATAAGTGGAGAAATATACTATATTCATGGATTGGAAGACTCATTTTTTCATTTCTCTTTAATTTGATCTATAGATTAAACACAATCCCAATCACATTCCTAGCAATCTTTTTTATAGGTATCTATGAGGATGGAGGTGGAACCCAAAATGGAAGGCAGAATGAGACATTTATTTACCTGTACTATTATATAAATGTAGGACATAACTGTTGAAGGTGACAGAGGAGAAACCCTCGTTAAAAGCTCTCATTTCTTTTCCTCATTTGTAAGTCCTTAACAAAATATAAAGTCATTTTTGTTGAACCATCTAGTTCACATACTGTTGCTATTAGAAATTCTTTTTTTTTTTAGGATTTTATTTATTTATTTGAGAAAGAGAGCAGAGCAGGGGGAGGGAAAAAGAGAGGGTTAGAGGAAGGGGAAGGGGGAGAGGGGAGAGAGAATCTCAAGTAGATTCCCCCCCTGAGTGGGAGTCCAATGCAGGGCATGATCCCAGCACCCTGAGATCGTGACCTGAGCCTGATGTGGGGCTCAGTCCCAGGACCCTAAGATCATGACCTGAGCTGAAGTCACATGCCTAACTGACTGAGCCACCCAGACACCCCTGCTGCTATTAGAAATTCTATGATGAAATCCATCATGGGGCACCTGGGTTGTTCCATTGGTTAAGCATCTGCCTTCAGCTCAGGTCATGATCCCAGGGTCCTGGAACAAGCCCCATATCGGGCTGTCTGCTCAGCGGGGAGCCTGCTTCTCCCTCTCCCTCTGCCTGCTGCTCTGCCTGCTTGTGCTTTCTCTGTCAAATAAATAAAATCTTAAAAGAAAATCCATCATTAGGTGCTTCAGAGAAATTAATGGAGTCATTTTTCCCCCACTTTCTGTTTCTTGCCTTGAGAAATTCAATGATTTAGGGAAGGAGAGTTGGGGGAGTCCTAACTGGTGTCCACTCTTAAGCTAGTTGATGACTTCAATTCACTGTAAGCAGTTGCTCTTAATATAATAATTCCTCTTTTAATCTGTGCCCACATAGACCCATGCCCATTACTAGAACTGGAACAGTCCTGACAACAGAATATGCTGGTATACACCCCCAGGTCCAAGGGGCTGCTATGTTCAGGAGATAATATGCAGAAAAAATAAATAACATATCACAAATTTTTCCATAACCCTTCTCCCCTAATAAATACCTTAACTCCTGTTAGCCAATATTGTGTCACATTGTAACTCGTAGCTGCAAGGGATGCTAGGAAAGTGTGTAACCAGAAAAGGGGAATAGGATTACTTTCACTGACCCAGATCAGTCATGATTCATCCCTAGGAGGAGGTATATTGCCCTGTGAAAAATCAAGGTTTAGTTTTTAAGGAGTAAGGTGAGGACAGTGGCTATTGTTGGCAACATTATCTGCCACATATGGCTTGGAATATGCTGGTTCTCTATCCTTAGCAAGGTATCAGATTTTCTTTACAGGATTTTGCACTGTTGTTGCTGGGGAACTGCTGAGACACCCATCTTATTCTGCTGTCCTCTTTTAAAGATTGATTATGATGGTTCTAAGAATGTGGGGTTCCCAGGGTCACAGTGCTTATTAGTGGTAGAGAGACTAGAAAGCAAATCTCAGGTCACTGTTCTTTTCCACTATAATTCATCTGTTCTAGCGATTTTTTAAAAAGATACTTTTAAGAAAAAACTTCAGATGAGTGACAAAAATTAATTACAAGCCAACAACAACCAAAAAAAATTTTTTGCTGAATAAATTAATAGATTAATTTTCCTTAATCAAATTAAAACTGGGAAAGGGACGGTGCATGGGGACAGGGGAGGACATCTGTGCTGTTCATTATCCACTGTAGTATTGCTTGAATTGATTGCAATGATATGTGTTTTCTTGATTAAATTTTATTTTGGGGAAAATATGTGAATTTTATTTTAAAAAACGAAACAGTGCTACTAGACTTGTAATAATATGAAAAACTATACCCTGTTTCTGTTTTCCCCATCCCTAATTGCTGTTCTCAAAGAGAAGCACTTTCAGCTCCTAAGTGTGATTTCTTATATTTCTTCAGTTTTTCCAAATCATGTTTATGTTGTTATTATTTGACACTTTTCAGATTTATATTTATATATTTTACTATGGCAAATAAGAATTTAACTCTCTTAGCACCACCAATATCTCTGATACTCATCACTCAGACACAAACTTCTCCTTACTCCTTCCTTGAAATATGTTACCATTTTGGTTAAATTCCCATTTAGTTGTTAATGTCTCAATACTTTAAAATACCTTAGGTATTTTGTAAATTTCATAATTTTCTTGGTTATGTTCTTTCATGAAGCTATATATCTTCCTGTTCCTTGTGAACTGTTTTTTTCCCTGATACAGAACTATTGACAAATTCATGGGACATCTCTCACATACGAACTTTTATTCTTATCCACCTTATGCCTAAGCAATATGTGATCATACCAGTCATCCTTACACCTATCAGTACCTCTGGTATGAATATTCTTGGCCTTTCTGATGGATCCAAGAATCATTTACAGGGTGACCTTTAGTCCACCTTGTGGGTGCAGGTTCTGAAACCACAAAGCATGCCTGATCTAATGGCTTTTCTTCTCTTTCCCAGTTCTGCCTTTTCAAGCCCTGTCTTTTACCAGAAAGAAGAGGAAATGACTGAATCCCAGGTAAATTTTAAGTAGTATATTTGTTCTCTGCCTTATTCTACAGTGTAGTTTAAAAGAATTATAGTAATCCATATAGTAAATTGGAAAATCCTCTATAGATAAAGCTTTTTCAGAGGAAATAGAGTTGGAAGATTAAGACCAGGGAAGAGTTAAAATATGGTAATGCAGGGATGCCTGGGTGGCTCAGTTGTTAAGGGTCTGCCTTAGGCTCAGGTCTTGGTCCCAGGGTCCTGGGATTGAGCCCCACACTGCTGCTCAGGCTCCCTGCTCACGCTTGGCAGGAAACCTGCTTCTCCCTCTCCCACTCTCCCTGCTTGTGTTCCCTCTCTCGCTGTCTCTCTATCTGTCGAACATCACTGTCTCTCTATCTGTCAAATAAATAAATAAAATCTTTAAAAAAAATATGGTGATGCAGAAAGGTGTTCATTCAGAGAGATTAAAGTTGGGCTTCAGTTTTCAATTTCATTATTATAGGTGAAACAAACTAGAGCAAAAAATTCATTACATAATTTGCATTGTAAATAAGGATTAAAATGAACTTTTCTTAGGAGAAGTAAGCTTTCCTTTGGTACCTAGGGCAATAAATATATTATAGTGTGACCTCTTGTAGTTGACAAACCCAGCTATTTTGATGATCTGTTTTGATAAAGGATAAAATAAAGAATATATGTTAAAATAGACAGCATTGGAAAGAATGCAAATGAAGATTATCAGAAAAAGGAATAAATTATCCCTTTCATTCAATGGAAGACCACACAACAATTTAAAAAAAAAATGGCAGATACTGGTTACTCACAACAATAAAGATAAATTTCACAAACATTGGAGTGAGCGAATCCAGAAACAAAATAGATGGTTCTATTTATATGAAGTTTGAAAGCTGGGGAAACTAATCTCTTGTGCTAGAAATCAGGATAGTAGTTACCCCTAAAAGGATGTTAACTGGGAAGGGATATGAGAGAATCTTCTGGAGTGCTGAAAATGTGGTTATTTTGACCTGATTACATAAATATTTAAATGTATAAAAATGTATCATGTTGTACACTTAAGATTAGTGCATCTTAGGGGCGCCTGGCTGGCTCAGTCAGTAGAGCATGTGACACTTGATCTTGCGGTTGTGAGTTTGAGCCGCACATTGGGTGCAGAGATTACTTAAAAATAAAATCTTAAAAAAAAAATTAGTGCATTTTACCACATTATTCTATATGTATCATACATAATTTTAAAGAATACTAGAATATCTGAAGAAATAGATGAGATATGTGTCTCTCAAATGACTCTACATAATTATATTTTTCAATGAGTATTTGCTACAGATTGGGCCACAGTCTAATAATTTCTGGTAAATTATTATAATTTTAGGCACTGAAATGTGAACAGAAAATATGTTTTATTTCGTTTACTGGTGTGTCTCCAGCCCCTAGGACATTCTATGCCTGGTATGCATAGTTTTTGTGAATATTTGTGGTTTTAGTGACTTGAATCCATGGTTCCTTGTTTATTTTACTCTTAAAGTAAGTGATATCGGGACGCCTGGGTGGCTCAGTCTGTTAAGCATCTGCCTTCAGCTCATGTCATGATCTCAGGATCCTGGGATCAAGCCCTGCATTGGAGGCCCGGGGCTCCCTGCTCAGCAAGATGTCTGCTTCTCCCTTGGCCCCTCCCCCCTGCTTATGCCCTCTCTCTCAAATAAATAAAAATCTTAAAAAAAAAAAAAAAAGTTGATGTCTGCCTCCTCTTCAAGGATAAGTCCTTTTCCTCAGAACTTCATCCTTCATACTTCCTTTGGAATCTTTCTCTTTACAGATTTATCCTGCACTCTTAGCTATTAAACATATCTCACTTTACTGCTATTTCACCCTCAGCTCAAAGCTTTCATATACTGAGATATATCTTTCTTTGATTATGTGTCCCAATTAGCAGCTTCTCTACTTATCCATTTTTTTCTTCAAACTCAGTTAATTTTCAAAGTGAACACTGTAACTTACAAAAGCAATAGATCAGGAATTAGAACATTACCCTAACAGCCATGAGATTTCTTCTGCACCTTTCCAAGGTCATCACCCCTATCCCAGGGCTAAGCACTATTCAACTTATATCACCACAGATTATCTCTGCCTAAGTTTGAACATTATTAATGTATATACTCTATGTCTGGCTTCTTTTGCCTAATACTATGTTTGTCAGATTCATGTTGAATTATTGCATGTATTTGTAGTTTGGTTAATTTCATTGCTTTATATTATTCAATTATGTGAATAAAATACAATTTTATTTATCCATTCTATTATTGATTGCCATTTAGGTAGTTTTTATTTGAGGGCAATTACAAATATTATTGCTATGAACTTTCTTGTGAATGTCTTTTGTTGCACATATGTACACATTCTTTTGTATGTAAACCAAAAGAATTGCTGAGTTATAGGTCACATACATAGGTTACCTTTTATTGATACTGCCAAGCAGTTTTCCAAAGTGGTTGTCCAAAATTTCACTTTAAAAGAAAGGAAAAGTCTGTGTTAATATCAGGTAAGATAAAAGTCAAACGTAAGCTTTAAACAAAAAGAACAGTGTTTTAAAATGGGTGCAATAGATAATAAAGATAAATAGTTTAGGACTGCTTCCTTATCAAATAACCTGCAGCAAATTTACTATAAGGAACACTGAAAATAAAAAGATACATATCAGTAGGGAAACTTTCATCTGTCTTAGCTCATGCTAGATGAGCTAGACAAAAAAATAAATATATATCTACCAATAATAATTTGATAGAGCTAATAGATTAAGATAGCTTATAGCCTGGAAACAGTTACTATCTCTTATTTGGATATGAAATAACCTAGAAACTGACCGTGTATTAGGTGTGAATAAAATTCAATAAATTTCAAAAGAGGGGTGCCTGGGTGGCTCAGTTGTTAAGCGTCTGTCTTCGGCTCAGGTCCTGATCCCCAGGTCCTGGGATCGAGCCCCGCGTCAGGCTCCCTGCTCAGCAGGAAGCCTGCTTCTCCCTCTCGCACTCCCCCTGCTTGTGTTCCCTCTCTCACTGTCTTTCTCTCTGTCAAATAAATAAAATCTTTAAAAATTGTCTTTTCCAAAGTAGAAACTATACATGGCAATAGTTCCACAATGCAATTAAATATGAAGTTAATAATAAAAGATTCAAAAAGAAAAACATTCACATGGAATTTTTTTTAACTAGCATAAGCAACTCAGATCAGTGGGGACATAAAAATTTGTTACAGAACATCTTGAAAAATAACAGAGGAAAACCTACAGGCTGAAAAAATATGTTAATAAACGTAAAAAAATGAGAGTAAATGAACAAAACACACCATTCTAGTAATTAGAAACAAAATGAGAAAATTAAAAAAGGAATTGGTAAGAATAAAGTTCAAGTCAGTGAGTTAGAAAAACACAAAATAGAACTAATAAAGAGCTGCTTCTTCCTCTGTCTCTCTTGTTTTTCTTCTTTATTATTTTAAAATCTAGGAAGAGGTAGGAGAAGTAGAATAAGCAGCCACATACCCAGCTCCCCAAATGAGCATGTTTTAATATTTTGTCATTTTGCCTCAGGATTTTTTTCAACAAAATAATCAGAATATTACAGATACTTTGTCCCCAGAGGCAGTCACTCTATCTGTATCCATAGAGTTCATGGTTTTATATTTTTACCACATAAATTTGTATATATGAACACTACTTTTTTTTTTTTTAAAGATTTTATTTATTCATGAGAGACAGAGGAGGAGAGAGTGAGAGGGAGAGAGAGAGAGAGGGAGAAGCAGAGGGAGAAGCAGGCTCCCAAGGAGCAGGGAGCCCGATGCGGGACTCGATCCCAGGACCCCGGGATCATGACCTGAGCCGAAGGCAGACGCTTAACGACTGAGCCACCCAGGCGCCCTATATGAACACTACTTAATGTTGCTCTGTGTTTTAGATTTTTTAAATAACTGGGAACCTGGGCGCCTGGGTGGCTCAGTAGGTTAAGCGACTGCCTTCGGCTCAGGTCATGATCCTGGAGTCCTGGGATTGAGTCCCACATCGGGTTCCCTTCTCAGCAGGGAGTCTGCTTCTCCCTGATTCTCTTCCCTCTCATGCTCTCTATCTCTCATTCTCTCTCTCTCTCAAATAAATAAATAAATAACTGGGAACCTGATGGACTTACAGTTTTGCAACTCATCTTTGTTTTCCACTCTACATTGTGTTTTCAGACTTATTCATGTTAATATATGTCTTTCTGACTTTATGTCCTTTTCCATTGTTTTGATTTCCTGTGTCAATCCCACACTATCTTAATTACCATATCTATTTTATAAGTCTTGATCTGATAATGCAAGTGAATCCTCCATCTTTTTCAGCATTGCCTTAGCTGTTTGTAGCTATTTATATTTCCTTATAAATTTTAGAATTAGTCTATTTCCACAATTAAAACTGCTGAGAATTTGACACTGAATTATGCTTACAAATATATTATCTGCAAATGAACAGTTTTATTCATTTTAAACCCTCATGCCCCCTTTTTTTTCTTGCCTAATTTTGATTGTTAAACATAATAGAATGTTGAATAGATGTGGTAGTGAGTGATCTTTGTCCCATATACTTAGGGGTATATATTCAGTAATTCATGAGTAAGTATGATAATTTGGTGTAGGTATTTTTCTAAATAATCTTCTGGTTCAAGGAAATTTCCTTTTTTTTTTTTAAAGATTTTTTTTTAATTTATTTATTCATGAGAGAGGAGGAGAGAGAGGGGGGTAGAGAGAGAGAGAGAGAGAGAGAAGCAGAGGGAGAAGCAGGCTCCCAAGGAGCAGGGAGCCCGATGCGGGACTCGATCCCAGGACCCTGGGATCATGACCTGAGCCGAAGACAGACGCTCAACCATCTGAGCCACCCAGGCACCCAAGGAAATTTCCTTTTATTCCTAGTCTGCTAAGAGTGTCATAAATTGGTGTTAAGTTTTGTCAAATACTTGTATATATGATCTTGATCAATGTTTTCTC